CCCGAGGGCCGCCGGGGCCACCGGCGCCGCGCATCGCCTGCGGGCCCCGCCGGGCAGCCTCTGAGCGCCCGGGCGCGGGGAGGACACCGGGGGAGAGGGGACACACAGAGACAGGGAGACACAAATGAGAGAGAGACACAGAGGTGGGGAGACAGAGACAGGGAGACAAGATATAGAAAGAGACACGGAGAAGAGGAGATACAGGAAAGGAGAGACGCAGAGATGGGGAGGAGAGGGAAAGATTGGGGTGATACAGAGGGAGAGACACAGAGATAGGGAGAGACAGAGGGAGAGATACAGAAGCAAAGAGAGAGACAGGGAGAGCGTAGGTGGGTAATGGGGACAGAGAAGATACAGAGGTATGGAAGAGATAGACAAGGTAGGAATGGGGACGACAGATGGGAAGCAGACCCACAGAGATGCGACCAGAATAGGAGCAGAGAGAGACCCAGGGAGATAGGAAGAGAGACGCAAACAGCAACAGAGAGGTGGTCAGGGAGAGGGCAACAGACATAAGGAGAGGGATGGAAGGAGAAACACAGATAGAGAGGCTCAGAGTGACAGAGACAGGGAGAGGAGGCCGAGAGAGATAAGGCGGAGTGACAGAAATAGGGAGGGAATGACAGGGAGCCAGGGATAGATGCAGAGATAGATGACGGAAGGTGGGAGAGATAAGAGAGATGAGAAAGTTGGGTAGGGAGAGGAAGATGGAAAGAAACCCAGAAAGATGGAGGCAGAGACCCCCCGGGCCACCAAGAGACATGCACACACAAGAGATGGAGGAACAGGCAGAATTAGAGATGGAGGGAGGCGGCAGGCAAAGCAGACAGAAAACACAGGAAGACAGAAATAGCGAGGCAAGGCGAAGATCAAGACCCCCACCAGGGAGGTGTCCAGCACAGACATGAAAGGAAGGCCGGGAGGGCGAATGACAGGAGGGATCAAAAATAAAAGGAAGAAAAAATGAGAGAAAAAAGATGAGAAGGGGAAAAGGGGTCAGGTGTGCGGGGGGAGAGAAAGAGAGAGAAAAAGAAATTAGTGGGGTATCCCAAGGAGAGAAAATGCCCCCCTGACCTTACCCCTCACCTCGACCACAACCCCCAACCCACTTTGGTCTCCTTACTCCTGTCCCTGTCTCCCCACTCTCCATGACAGCTAGAAAGAGTGGGGGCCCAGGCTAGGTGGCAGGGTTGAGGGGCACAGCTGTGGAGAGCTGGGGGGCCGGGGTCCCTGGCTCCCAGCCCAGAGCAATTTAGTAAATTAGAGGAAATACAGCGTCTCTTCCTGTGTCCCCTGTTGAATACTAGCTGCCTGGGGGTGGTCGGGCTGGGAGCCCAGACTCCTGGCTCCTGGGCCTGAGAGGGGAGGGCACTGGGGGCCTGGACTCCTGGTTCCTAGAGAGGGATTAGAGCCTGCACTAGGGGCTTCTTGAAGGGGTGAGGGTTCAGACAGGGAAAGGTTCTCTCTTGGCTGTCAATCAGACTCCTGTCCAGTTGCCATGGTAGCACAGGCCCTGTCCACCCTACAGACAGCCAGGGTGGGGAAAGGCCCACTCCCCCTCCCTTGCCTAGAGGCCTCCCCCCACCCTCCCACCCACCTTCCCAGAGATCCTGGGCCACTGTCTCCCCAGGGATAGGGGTGGGGGCTCCTAGCATGGCCATCCCTCCTAAATCCCAGCTCTTCCTTGCTCCTCCTCTCCTCTGCCCTTCCCAAGCAGCTGGCTCAACCAGCGCTCAGAATAGCCCCCCTTCTGCCCCAAAATAACCCACAGCTGTGGTCTGGCCCCCGTGGGGTTTACACTCGCTCCCCCCTCCCTTCCCAGTGGCAGGAAGCCCTCAGGCCCCCTCTGCCTCTCTCACACCCACCCCTGCCTGACCTCTGCCCTTAGGGACACCAGGGTCCTGCTCCCTGCTGAGGCCCAAGAGGGCAGCTCCAGCCCCACCCTTCACAGAAGGTTGGGTGCCCAGTCTTCTCCCGTTAGGGATTCGAGAGGGCAGTCTCCCACCCCTCCAGAGACTGAGAATTGGCATCCCCAGCCGCTGGAGGACTCTGGCGGCCCAATCCCCAGATCCTACATCCTCAGGGAACACACTGTCCAGACCTCCAATCTCCACTTCCTCGTGAGCCTCAGTCCTCACTTCCATCCCCAAGGGGCTAGAGTCCAGACCCCCGTCCCCTGTCCTGTAAGGGACTCAGGATACTGAGCCCCCAGCCCCTTTCTCAGACACAGAAACTCTATCTTCCAACTTCTCCCATAAAGACTCAGGAGTCCTGGCCCTGGGCCCCCCTCCTCCCCCAGGACCCAGGAGTCTTGGCCCGCTCCTGCCCTTAGACTCAGGAGTCCGAGTCCCCAGCCTTTTCTATGCCCAGCAACCAGGAGTCCAGGCCCCCAGCCCTCTCCTCCCTTAAGGACCCCCTTTTTGTCTCAAACCCCATCAGTCTCAACATCCTGGGCACCCCCCTAGCACCAGCCTCCCAGTCTCCCCACTCAGGTCCTGTACAGCACAGCCTGCCCCCAGCTGAGGAGGAGGAGGGTGCCAGAGATTCTTGGGGTGTCTCTGTCACCGTTGCTCCCCCCCAATCCACCACAGAAGAGATGAGAGGCCACTTTGATCAACAGCCCGCCCCCCCTCACGTCGTGCTGCAGACGGCATCCGTTCCCCCCACCTCCAGCACCCGTCTCTCCCCACCCTAATCCTGGTACTCAGATGAGGCTGGAAGGGTATTCCAGAACCTTGAGGAAGGGGTGGTAGCTTGGGGCGAGGGGTGCCAGAGGCCTGGATGCCCTCAAGGTCCTTGGCAGGGGTATTAATAGCAGACTCATAGCTCTGAGAAGGGAGGGGAGAGCGGGAGGAGAGAGGGAGAGGGACGGCCGGCAAGGGGGGAGACTGATGCGGGCAGGGGGGGTGCAGAGGGAAGGTGAGATGGAGAGATGGGGGATAGAGATATGGGGTGTCAGGTAGGTGGGGCTGGGGAGAGGGAGCAAAGTGTTAGAGAAATGGGGAGTCAGGAGGTCTGAGGTGTAGAAACCCAGGAAAAAGGGGCTCAGAGAGGGAGACGGAGAGGGGGCGGAGGAGAGTCCCCAAGAGGCAAGGGAACTAGGGGGGCCAAGACCCCTGCTTGCCATGCCATCCTCCTCCTTCCCTGAGGCCCCTGGCCAACTTTCCCTGTCCTAGATCTGGGGGGTCCCTGTCCCCACCCCCACGCCTGCATCCCCTCCCCCAGCCTTACCTTTTCATGACCCTGTTCTGTGGGGGCAATTTCAGGGGGGCCAGGACCGGAACCCGGAGTCCAGCAACCCGAAGATCGGCGGAGGGCTCAGGAAGCCGTTGGGGGGGCAGGCCCTGGGGCGGCGGCGGCAGCGGCGGTGGCAGTGGCGGCAGCAGCGGGGACCTCCTGCCTGTCCCTGGCTCCAGCTCGCCCTCCTCTTCTTCTGTCCCGTCCTGCCCTGTCTGTCCCCCAAGGTTGCAGCCACCCAGACTAGGCGAGGACGCCGCTACACATGTTGCGCTGGAAGTTGGGCCCCGGACATTGCGGAGGCTGTCGGGCTGTCCTCTCGCCGCCCCGACCCCGTGGGGATCCCCCCTCCGCCCACCCGGGGTGCCCCCCTCTGCCACTTCAGCCCCGGCTCCTCCCCTGGTCCATGTGTCCGGTCCCGCCTCTCTCTGGCTCATTCGCGCACCCCCCCCTTTGTGGCCTCAGCGCCCCCCCCACCAGCATCTATGTCTGTCTGTCTGTCTGGGTCACCTCTGAAGCGGGTGGCTGGTGTGTGTGTTTGTATGAGGGGCGGGAGACCGCCTGTCTGGGGAACTGCTTGCCCCTTCCTCGCTTGGCTGCCTCCAGACCCCTCCTTGCTGCCCTCACTCTCAAGCACAGGCAGACACACACGCACACACGCACAACCTCACTTCCCTGGGATTCCCCTCAACATCCCCGGAGCTTGAGGAGGGAGACACACACACACACAGATACACACAGAGGGGCTCCGATGGGGGCCGGGCTGCCACTGCTGTCTGGGGCTGTTCGGACAGACAGGAGGACACAGGCAGCCGGGAATGCCAGACGCCCGGCAGGACGCAGGCAGGAGGCACAGAGCCCAGGTACACACCATCCATCTGGGTTTGGGGGGCTGTGGGGAGGAAACTGGGGGGCCCACGACACCCAGGCAGGCATCTCAGGGTCGGTACAGAGACAGACCCCTCCCTCCCTCCCTCTGCCGCCGCCGCAGCCCTTACAGACACACCCCCCCCTCCACCAGCCCAGCCCGACACCCTGACACACAGATCCTCACCGGGCAGATGGCAGACGCACGAGAGACCCCTGGGGGCCGGGCGGACCCACCCAGGCTGACACCCCTCAGCTGGGCACCGGTGGCCGAGGGAGGCTGCGGGCAGGCGGAGGGTGGCGGCGGCAGCCGCGGCTTGGAGAAGCCAGAGCGGGAGGGACTCACACACTCGCTCTGTTCTCGCACACACACACTCACTCGGGATGCGATTAACATTCAGTCCCCGTCCGCCCCTGCCGGGAGACCCACAGCCCCCACTCTTGGCCTCCCTGGGGACCCCTCCTCCTGCCAGGGCTGGGGGAGGGGGCTGCCCCCCACCTCCAGCTCCCAGCCTCTGCCTTCCTCCTGGGACAAGAGAGTGAGGGGATGCAAATAAAAAGGAAGCGGGGCGGGGGGGAGGGAAGGGGGGGCGGGCAGGGACTCAAAAC